GGACCCGCCATATGTATCCCCGTTCACCACACAAGACCAGCTCAGGTCTGACCCCTTGTCCACCAAATATGTGGCCATTATTTGCAAGTCTTGCGAATAACACGACTGACGGACTATACGAATGACACAATCCCTGAAGTCTTGGTAATTACGACACGAAGAGCTGGAAACTGGGGGCGGATTGGATTGGAAACTGTATCGACTCTCACAGTCCCTGATGTCTTGTCTCATGTAACACGAGGCAGACTTCCAGCCTATTGTCATAAATTGGTTTTAATAATAGGTTTGTAATTGTGATGTTGTGCTAAGGTATCGCATACCTCCCCCTCCCTGTTCGCAATATCTCTCTAACGTCTGTTTGGCCCGACGTATGAAATCTCCGGCATTATTGCGGTTGTCATAGCTATTCCCGACTGTCCCATAGCTATTCGATGTACCCGAATAGGAGGTCCTCGTGTTGTTCATACAGGCGGGCGTATACATTATCAGACAGTCCAGATTCTGGCGAATGGCACTGGTATTCAACAGACATTTTATGCAAATTTAAACTTTTTAAATAAAATTCTTGGAAATCTCAAAACGATTTATTCTGTATTTCAAGAATAATTTATATGTCTTTCATGTGCCGAATATATAAGACTTGTTGAGAAAGTTAATAATCAATAAATGGTAATAAATTTGAATTTTTATTTTTATTCCAATATTCAAATGGCAATCAGTAAAGTGAATGCAATGAGTACTCTAATGGGACTAAAATCACTTGAAGTTAAAGTAGATTTTCATTAATTATCTAAATAAATTAATTGAAATCTATTCAGAAAACCAAAATTTTAATGCTAAATCTATAGAGATATTGAAATTTTAGAGTTTAAAAGCAATTTTAATGGTTATTATTTGCATAAATTATAATATTCATTTAATAAAAAATTTTTAGCCAAAAAATATATATTAACTACCGCTGATATTTTTAACTTTATAAAATAATAATTCAATGGCTAAATAATTTTCATTCACTGTATGACAACAACAGAAAGTTATGAATTGAAATGCATTTGTTATATATTGTCAGAAAATAGCAAAAATGTTAGAAAAAGTAAAAAATATGTGAGATAAACACAATGTTTAATTCATTCAAGTTATTTAAAAAACACAAAAAATTTTGTTTATGCATTATTAATACAATAGACACTACACTGAATATCTCACATCCGATAGCAAACTATACTATAAATTGAAACTCATTTCCGCGTTTCGGAGTGAATCGTCAAAAATATAAGCATTTATTTCGCATTTTTAATGTTATATAAAGTGAAGCGAAAGTTTAACTCAAATAGATATGCGGAATAAATATACTACACTAGAAATAAAAGCAAGTTTTTGTGTTATAATCATAATATCTATAATTTATTGCATTTATATAGCGGGGGATCCGATGTTCAAACTTAATGACTGCCAGAGTTTGTAAGCGATTTTTGTATAACAAGTTTTGTGCCGTTTTTGTTGTCATTATAATCGTTATTAACATATTTATCTATAATATTGCCGCACTAGTATGAGGACTGGTAGCATAGAAAAGTAGGTAATATACATACAGGTATGATATAATATAATATGTCATAATCACCTGCATCTCGCATGTGTGTCGCTACTGGAGCTCTGGTAGCCGCTGGAGATACCACTATATCCAGAGCCCGACTGCGAGTTACTGATGTCCTGGATGTTTGTGGTGATGTCCTGTTGGCAGCGCTGAAGACGATTTTGGTCGCAGTTGTATTGACTGTACGACTGGCCATTGGTTAGCGCCAGGGCTGTGGGATAGACAATATGTTACTGATGTCCTGGATGTTTGTGGTGATGTCCTGTTGGCAGCGCTGAAGACGATTTTGGTCGCAGTTGTATTGACTGTACGACTGGCCATTGGTTAGCGCCAGGGCTGTGGGATAGACAATAGGGAGACACAAGATATTCACGATTAATGTCACATATAATGAAAAAGTAATTAAAAAGAAAACTGACTTTCATTTGAAACGACAAAACGCTTTGCTATTAATTATACGAAAAATGATTAATTCTTTTGTGTAAATAAGAGTACACTTTGTGTACACTATAGGAGTGGCTGTTAATTGGGTTTTGAATACCATTAAGTTAATAGTGAACTGCATTTTACTTTCTCTCTCAGTGTATATGATTTGACACAAAAGTTTGTTTGAGTCACATATTAGGCTAAGAATTATAATTTCAAATATTATATGTAATTATGATTTCTTTGCTTTATGTTAGTTATCGTGTAATTAAATCTTCACATTCACTGTAATGAGAATAATGTCTAAACTTCACATCAAATTATAATAATATTTCTTATCAAATGATAGTAAGAGTTAGGTATGCCTTTCACAAAAGAGTTCAAACACATTGAAAACAGAGACTTATATTTTAAATTAAATATTGAATTGAAAAATAAAATCTCCAGAATTCATGTGAAACACAATATTCACGACTCGATTGTATAATATATTCAAATTACAGACAAATCTCTTTAGTGTTTTAGAGGCTATCGGATGAATAAAAAGACTTATATTTTATTTAACTTTTCATTTCTATTGAGAATTAATAGAAATGATATGTTTGTATTATAAATAATAATTTGAAAAATAAATTACAGATATTTTTCTTCGTATTTCAATCTCTCATAAAATTTTCATTTTTCGGCTCAAAATTCTCAATGTTTCCTAAAATGATTTATTACTTGAAAAAATTATTGGACACAAAATGTACACTCAATACTCGTTGCAACAAATTAATATAAGCTTTATGAGTGTTTAGCATGTAAGCGCATATAATCCTATGTAATTTAATTATTTTTTAGTATAAATTATATTATTTTTTTAATAGAGTAGGCGTTGTAAACAAAAGACTTTTTAATTATGATTATTAAATTCGTTGTACACTATACCGAAAATTTATTGCAAACAAATAATAAGTGATAAAATTATTGAAAAATTCATAACTATTCCCAACGAATGGCTTATTTTTTTATTGAGTGCTTTCAGAGACATTGATCTATATTTCAAATACAAACTTATCTCTTATTATGAAGTGTTTGTATAAAAACAGGATTTTTGAACCTTCAGTTTAAAACACTTTTCATTTCATGTTATTATTGAATGAAATTATTTATAACTGTATTCAAAAGGGATGAACGAAATGCTTTGAGAGACTAAAAAACTAATTAACACTCAATTATTTATACAGGTAGCGTCTATTTATAGTGAAAATATGTGAATAGTGTCCACATAAAAACTATTAAATAACTGACTACTGAATAAACACAAGTAATTATCATTTGAGTGAAATAATAATTTTTTGTCTCTATTATGAATAAAAGAGTTAATGTAATTATAATTTAATATTAATTTATTATTCATTTTAAGGTGTATTGTAATTCCGTATAAATACGTTCATTAAAATATGGGAAAGGTATGCGAGTTGCATGCATACAATCAGGGAGTTTTCAAATTTGCATTTTTAG